TAGCCACAGAAGCCTACACGTTATACATCTTACATTCACTAGGTACACTCCCTTTATTAGCCACAGAAGCCTACACGTTATACACCTTACATTCACTAAGTACACTCCCTTTATTAGCCACAGAAGCCTACATGTTATACACCTTACATTCACTAGGTACACTCCCTTTATTAGCCACAGAAGCCTACACGTTATACATCTTACATTCACTAGGTACACTCCCTTTATTAGCCACAGAAGCCTACACGTTATACACCTTACATTCACTAAGTACACTCCCTTTATTAGCCACAGAAGCCTACATGTTATACACCTTACATTCACTAGGTACACTCCCTTTATTAGCCACAGAAGCCTACACGTTATACATCTTACATTCACTAGGTACACTCCCTTTATTAGCCACAGAAGCCTACACGTTATACATCTTACATTCACTAGGTACACTCCCTTTATTAGCCACAGAAGCCTACACGTTATACCCTTAGTGAATGTAAGGTTACACTCCCTTTATAAGCCACAGAAGCCTACACATTTATGACTAAGCAGATGTTCTTAGAGCAAACAGTCTTCAAATATTTTAAGTGCCAAAGCAGGAACAAAATTTTATATACAACCTAGAGAAAACATATTTAAGAAAGAATTATGCTCAGGAAATAGCAGCAAAGAAATATTTTTTTTTTAATTAGTTGGATGTCATACGAAAAAATATCAAGGGTTCTACAGTAAACACCACAAGAAAAATATTTTGAGGAAAAAGAAAAAACGTTTGCAGGGATATTAAGCATCAAGCAGAAAATATGTTATTTCCACCAGATACAGATGTAATTTTATCTCATTTTTAATATTGTTTTAGTCACATTTTAATTTACACTTAACTCGACTAAGCACTAGACAATTGTTTGACATACAGTATTATTGTTTTCAAGTATCATTATCAAACATCCTAAAACACTAAAAGGAAACACAGTGTGACACGTTTACATCCTATTGATACCTAACCTTTGCTGAAGCCTCCCCACGAGATGTTTGTCCAGTTTCAGCTCGTCTGTTTCCACCACGAGACAACTTTGGCCCATACATGCAACAGATACTTTTTTATGCTTTTGTATTATAAATACTTCAACTGTCAGAATGTCTATTAAATTTCTTAATCCAAAATTACAATATTAGAATCTCAGTTCATTTTAACACCTGAATTCAAAGTTTAACTACTTGTACAGAGCATATTTTGACAGGTTACAGCAAATAAACTCCTCAAGTTGCATTACAAATAACAAAACTTAGTCTAAAAAAATTTTCATATACTTTTTCACAATTACTACTCAAAATGCTTCACTTTTACATCAAAATTATAATACATGCCTTGTAAATAATAATGTGCTTGAAGAAGAACACAAAAGTATGAAAATCTAATCTCATACATACATATATTTATTACCACTAGTTATTTTAATACTAAAGCTTTAAAGACATATAAAAGAGTAGGAGAAAAAATTAACTGATTAGTCAATTAAAAAAATTCAGTGAGCTACTTTATTTCAAAGTTTTCCTGGAGTTAACAGTATAGTTTCAAATTGTCTTAATTCTTACATAACCAGAATAGATAATAAAAATATTTTGAAATAAACTGAGTTTATATTTAAATAATTACACAATGAAAAAACGTATTTTCAGCACTGAATCTTACACACAAACATCTTTATTTTTTGTCTTTGTTTAAAAAATCTGTATGCTAAATAAAACTCGAAATAACGTCAGAAAATCTTTATCTGTCAATTTCCCTTACACCCTACATCAATCAATGTGTTTATTAATGATATGTAAGTCTCTACTTTTATATTTTAAACTTCTATATTAAATAAAACAATATTTTCTAAGGATAACATGAGAAATATCTTCATTTGCTAATTTCATCTTCAAACTTTCTATTCCGTACAATCACATTATTAACAATAAACATCCTTATTGGCAGAAATGGAAGATAGCTCCAAGTCTTTTATCAAACAAATTTTACTCATAATATTAACAGCCTTAGCAGTCTCTTCAAGAACACTAAGTTTTCAATTTAAAGTACTTTTTTTTATTTGGGCATTATTTATTTTCCAGCAATAAGGTAACAAAAATATACAGTTCTATTATCAGTTCGTTATATTCAGCTTAATCAAACATTAAGAATAAAGCATTTCTCACCACTGGCTTTAACTGTTTTTATTTTATTTTACTTAGTACTTTATTATCATCATCATGATTACATTTTGAAAACTTATTTGTTTTCAAATTTGTAAATTTATAATAAAGTTTCTTTCATTACCCATTCAAGCCATCTCCAGACGTTATTTGTTTGTTTGTTATTTTCTGTTTAATTACTCATTTAAGTTATTTACAAACACAGAATGGACACGTCCATATAAGGCAAGCACCACATCCATCCAAATCACTGTACAATAAACAGTTAGGTTACCTGAAATCCACGAAATAGCTCTGTTTTAAGACCACCTAAAACAAAGAACTCCTTAATTTAGCTTCATATGACATCCAATCAGTGCAAAAAAAAACACAACAGATAACCCAAGTTCTTTCCAAAGATAAAACTTTCAATCTTCAGAGAAGAGTTCAACCCTGAAAAACAAGAAGTTCCTCTTTCTGAAAATGCTCGAGTTATTACGATCTTTGTACCTTTTTGTTTCAGTGTAATCTTCAAGCTATAACTTCCACATCATTTGAATGTCATTAAAAACACCATTTCACACACTTACCAGTCTGTTCTCATCAAAAACTTGTAACACCAACTTGTGATGACTAGGTTTCACCTGCAAAACAGATAAAATAAAATAAGCAAAAATTTAATTTTAAAAAATCTATCAGCAGCTTGTGATGACTAGCTTTAACCTGCAAGACAGTTAAGATAAACTCAAAATAGACAAAAATCTTAACAAGTACATATGACAAACTTTCACTTACTCTAAAAATGAATTCTTCATCCCATTTTGGGTTTAAAGTCTGTAAGAAACAAAAACAAAAATTACTTTACTGACCAGCAGCACTACCACTAAACCTTTTTTCCTTCTTATAACACAATGATGTATTGCTTTTCCTTTAGTATACTTATTTATAACTTGCATAAAAAGAAGTTATTTTTAAGTGAAAATTCACACAGTATCACACCAATATTAAATGAAATTCTGTAAAACTTACTTATTAATTCTGTGGCAAAAACAAAACTGGTTTCCTAGGTACGAACATAATAGATAATAATTCAACCAGATGAGCTTCATTTTAATAATTTTTTCTCAATTTAGATAGTACTGAACAAAATACATTACATCAAATGTTTTTGTAGCTTTTGACTGATTTACTGCAGTCATCATTTGGCACGGATGTTGGTAATACCTCTAAATAAGAGTTCATTAACACTTATGGTTTCAAACTTAAAGGAAAAGATGAGGAAATGTTGTTTAGTTTTGATCAGTAAAGACTCCTTTACCAGAACAGTGATTTTATTTTCTGCTGAAATCTGTGTCACACCACAAATACAATTTATATAAATCATACAGTTCTGTCTGTCTGGAATTTTTCTTGCAAATTTTTCAATCAAATGCTACGGAGCTCTTATGATTAGAAAGGCCTTTGTCCAAAGAGTCCGGATTGCATATTGATTTCTCCATTCAGAATTGCTTTTCCTGTTTTTTGCTTGATCTAACTTTTTAATGCAACAAGTATGCTACACGATGACACAATGTCGTTATCATCACCTGATGACTGGCTTTGATTTCAACTTTAGTATTTTTTATTTGCAAAGTATTTCACACAAATAACACTTAACCCACGTGTCATTTCCTAAAAAAAATTAACATTACAATCGAAGCTTTAATGCTGAACTCAAAGTAGGCCTATGAACTTATATTTTCAAGAGATGCATTTAACTTGCCTTTTATAACATACAAGACAAACTGCTGACTGAGCTTTGCAACACATTGTTATTATTATGGTTATTTAACTCTCTACAGCTGACAAACATCATCTGTATATCTTTAGAAAATGCAGATATACAAGAAAGTGGCCAACTTGTTGTTTTTTTCACTTTCCAGAGAAGACAGCTATACAAATTTACAGCCCTACATTATTGATTTAGCATTTAGTTCTAAACAATACTTAAAATGCACATTAAACCTAATATATTAGTGTGTATGTGTGTTACAAACAAGCTGGAATGATGACCTCTAGTGTCGATCAAAAGAAATAGCATGTTAACAATAAGGCCTAGTTGGACTACAAAAATATAAACTGAGTCAGCAAAATACTAGGTAAATGAAATTACTGTGATGTCTTGCAACATGATATGCTAGTAAACATTTTTTTTTAACAATTAAGGCATTATAAATTGTAGACAACTTTATTTATTTAAACTATTTTTACAATAAAACTTGATAAGTAGACTAGAATATTATGTACAGCAATTCATGGTTACCTTTCTGCAAGTAACCATGTCATTTGGAAAATTTTTATACCTTTTTCTTTGTTTTGGTGTAAACTGAATCAATAACATTCTCCTCCTCTCTATTATTGTTTCCAGTTTCAGCCTCGTTTCTCATCAAATCAATACGCACATAAGGATCACTGAAATAGTTCAAGCATCAAAAAACAGCAATGAATCATTTAATGTTTCAAGATTTTTCAATGTTATCTAATCAGGATCATGAATAATCTTTTTACTTACTAATGTAGCAACATATTAAGAAATAATTTACTACTTATATACAGAGTTTTGAATTTTTTAACCAAGGATTACTTTTCTGTATGGAAGCTACAGTTGCTGGATGCGAGATTTTCTAAACATACGAGTTATCTTATACAATGTCTATTAAAACAACAGGTGTTTACAGACAACAGTTGTTTAGTAAAACCCATTATTTTAATCAAGAGTTTACAGCCAATCAGACAAGGTAACTCATACAGTAGATTTAGGAAGTCTCAGTATTTTCACACATAACAACTGTAATTTGTATTTGGAAAAGTAATCTGAGTTTGGAAAGTTCAAACCTCTTTGTTATGTGAATATTTAAATATTTATGTTATAATACCCTCAAATGGAAAAAGCTAACATAAAAAAAAACAACTAAATTTATACATGGAAAATTGCTATATAGTTTTACATTTTAAGAAATACTTAAAATATTTGAAGAACAAATTCTTATTTATATCTTGACTTATCGGTTGTTTATAAATTCCATATTTTTTTAGTTAATTGAGTAAACTCCGCTTGAACTAAAGAAAAAGCATTACCTCATTTTGATTTTATTCACCAGAAATTCTAATACAAATGAAATGGTTTTCACTTGTACCTGAACTGCAGTAGTTTGTCATTAACAGACAGACTTGGTTCTAGCTTTAAAAATTGTTTGCTAAAAATTTTGCCATCAAGAAAGTAAAACTAGTGATTTATCTCCAACAGTCTAATTTCTATATCAACTGTTTTACTCACCTTGCTCCAAATATGTCCTTTTTGGCTAAATCATGACCAGCTATGACTCGAATACGAAGCAATCTCGATGGTTCATTCTCCTTGAGCCATGAACATTATTAAATGGTAGAAGAAAATGAAAACAAAAAGAGGTTAGAATATAAAAACATGGTGAAGTGAGTCACTCTAAAGAAACAAGTTAATTATGATCTTAAAATAATTAAGCTGAAGTTTGTGTAGAAGAAGGGTCTTTAAAAATTCTAAATAATTTCTAATTTCACCTATTTGTTTTATTATATATGGAAGTATTTTACATATAGATCCCGTAAGAATAAGCAAGATAAAAACTCAAACAAACATTTATATAAGAAAATGTGCCTACATGTAGAATTAGTATTTTTTAATTTGTCATTTTCTCTTGATAATACTTGTTTTTCCTTTATATGCATGTTTAATTAAAATTGTCTATTTCTCCTTCATGAAAAGAAAAAAGAATTGACCTTTGATGGCAATTAATGCTTAGTTTATTAAGACTTATATGACCTTTTATGATTAACAATCATGTGTATTACAACTCAATTTCACTCTATTTTTCATTAAGAGTTGAGGTTTACAAGCTTTATCAACAACTTCAGCTTTTAAAGATAAATTAATCAGTCAACACCAAACTTAAATGGTACTCATGCTTAAGTGTCAGCTATTTCAGTATAAAAGACAAAAGGCTTTATGTCATTTTGTTCGAAACAACCTTAAAAAAAATCCTGGGCACTTAATTAGCATTTATAATTAATTAAAATTATTAATTATAATTAATAAGTTAGTCTCACAAATTTACTATGAAAAAAACACCTTTTATCTAGTATTTTGTTTTATAACAAAAACAAAAAACTATTGAATGTTTAGTTATTTCTTGTATTTTTAACGTAGGTTATTAGAGTAAGTTGTTCTTGCTACTTCTGAAAGTCTTATAGTCGCATGGGTTGAAAATTTCTGGAGCTTAACTCAGGGTAGTCTTGTTGACTGATGCGTTAGAATGTTATCTTGATCAGATTAATCTCTGAAGATGTGAAATATGATCCTTCTAGAACTGTATGTCGTGCTTTTACTGATGATGAATGTTTCTGGAAAAAAATTTCTGTTAGGTGTGCACTGTGTTGTTTTCCTACAGAAAGTAAAGGAATGTCTCATTTTATTCAAGGTGATACTAAGATGTCACTATTCCCGTGATGAAAAAGGTTGGTCTTGGTAGTAGTAGTATGTAGCCTTTTAAACAGACAAGTGAGAGTTTCGTACTGTAATTTTGTTCCTGACCTCATAAATCAAAGCTATGGAAAACCAAAACATGTTTGAGGTTTGTTTTTATTTTCCATCAAGACTACATTCTACAAATACTGTCCTGTTGAGTAAATTACACACAGGATAAAGCATTTACTAAACTCTTGCACTTCATGTCCAGTGATTCTGAAGTGCTGAATTTAAGAGAAGCATAACGTCATACAGTCACTCCTTTCACTCATGCCTGTAGAAGAAGAGAAGCTTTAGGTCATACAGTCACTCCTTTGACCAGAATAAAATCCTTGGTGGTCTGTTTAATGATCTATTTAAGTTAGAAAAACTTTTTGTTCTTCACTGCTGAAAATCCTTGCATATAGCACTTCATTCACGAGCCAAACCCAAACTACAAATACAGGCAACAAAACCTGGAGACTTTGAATTTTATGATAATCACTACACACACACAGCCTTTTATTCATTCATTAATACTGATATACTGCAAGTTACATAACGGCTCAGTTATGAAACATTATTACTGAAACAATCAAAAGAATTTTCTTTTGTGGCAGATAATACAGCCAGTATAAATGTCACTTGAAAAAGAGTCACCAAATAAGTATCCACACCTCCCTTATGTGCATTATGTACTCATAGTTACTGTTTATATTACAGATTTTTTTGTGATGCTACTGATGTATTGCATCAGTACATAATGAGTTATACTTTATTATATGAATTGACTGTGTACTAACATGCGTTTACACATGGCTTGTTTGTTTTATAAAAAATTTATTTACAGTTTAGACAACAGCATTCTAAAGTACTATATTGCAATTCTATTTCTTAATAGATATATTATGGTAAGAATTTTCCTTCTGAAGTTATGTTTAGCCTCCAACCTAAAATGTTGTATGCTTAGCTGCTCCACAGAAATTTAAAGGTAAAGAATGGCAAGAAAGAAACTACAAATTAGTAAAATTCTCAGTATAATCATGTCACTCAAAGTCAAACAAAAATACACCTTAAATTAAAAATTACAAGTGTAGCACTTGTGTACAGATATTTATTATAAACCTATTAATTAAAACAATATTTAAAAGTACACAATAATTTAAAATTGTTTAACTTGAAGGCAACAAGCCTAACAAAAAACCTACAAACCCAACGAAACATGTAGATTTTTTGTTAGGCCTAGTGTCTTCAAGTTTAAAAGTTTTAAATTATTGTGTATTTTTTAACGTTGTTTTAACTGAATTTTTAATAGAAAACTCGAATTAATTAGATACGATCTGATCATATTTATATATATGCAAAATATTTTCATTCAATAGATGTTATTGTGACTGGGGTTGTTGTCAGAATGGGAAAATGTCATTTGATGGGTTTGGGTAACACTAGTACGTGTGTAATATCTTATTCTCTTTCAAAGTTCAAATAATTTAGAGGTATGTCATTTTCTAAATACTAAAATACAAGGTCAATGGAACAACTAAAAAAATCATACTCATAACTGCAAATGCAAAACCTGTTCTTGCACACTTATAACATACTATTACTATGGTATTAGCTAACTTGCTTTATATTACATTAGCAGCATGCAATCATATATTACTTCACTTTTTCTGCTAAATCACCAAAATTAAAGCGGAACAATGATAAACACGTAATTTTACTACTAGTAATAATATCAATATTAATTACTATTAGTATTTACATTAGGTATAGTACTACTACTACTAGTAGTAACTCGGTATCTTCTGTGCTATTACTGCTAGTATGACTAATAACTCAAATAAGTAATATGAATCGTCTGACTTTTAATTTTTCGTACTTTCCAAAAATTAACCTCACCTGACTGTTTACGCTACTATCACTTGATGATGAGTCATTCCACCCATATATTCGTGATGTCGCCATAGGCTGTATCTTTTTTATAGTTACATAAATTTCTGTCTTACTGCTTTAGTCTTAATTCACATTTGACCTCACAATTACATGAAATCGACTTGTCTTCGTTTCGAAAGTAAATTTCGAGTTACTGTACTGTGTACTTCTGTAACAGTAACACTAACAGTGTAACTTGTAAGTTAATAGTAAGACTTAACGTAATACTATTTTAAGTACTTTCTTTAAAACTATTACTAATAACGTTTCCTGTAAATAAAGTTATTTAAATTTCGTAATTATGACATAAAACTTGCATAAAAATAAAATTTCATAGATTTTAAATACATGTTGATCGAATATATACAAAAGCTGAACGCGCTGTTCTTCGTCCTTGCTTCTCAGTAGTAGTACTGGCAGACATCACATTCTTCCAGATTCTAATCCCATTTCTCGCAACTCTCAAGGTAGACTGTCAGTAAAGGTGTTTTTACATCACACACATTCAAGTACTCTCTACACCATTAGTACATTGCTGTCTCATAAAAAATAAATTTCACTGTAAATGTTCGTGTAACATTTATGCACATATAATATACTCAAATCTGTGAGACAATATTCTATTATACATGGTAGAAATAAGTTTGAACCTTGTTTTTTTTGTTTTTTTTAATGACTGTTCATTATATATCTGTAATTTTCCTATTTGTGTCGCGAACGGATCGCGTGTCTTTTGGTATCTAGGTAGCCGTGATTTTTTACGTTTTGTTGCGTCATCGAGTCACATGACTACTGTGACGCAACGTTTCTAGAACTATCATG